GTCCCTTTACCCTTTAGTGTGCATAATAGAAATGCTCTTGCAGATTCTTTGGGACTCTGGTAATGCATCACTGAATGAAGTCTGAGCAGTTGGGGACTTTGTGTGAGCCTCCTCCACAAGGGACATTTCTCCCACAATGACATGGGTCCTGCCTTCTAAGTGGTCAATCATAGAACTGCAGAGTTTGAAGGGACTCATCTAGTCTGACCCTCTGCAATGCAGAAATATACAGCTGTCCTATATGGGGATCAAGCCTGTGACCTTGGTCTTATCAGCACCATGCTGTAACCAACTGAGCTCAGCTTTCAGTGATGGAGCAATTCCCCCTTTGGCTTTCTTAATCTGACTTCGTTCTTTTTCTGGGAAGATGTTCAACCGGTCATATTGTTGTCACTGTTCTTGTTATCCTATCTAAACACAGGTTTTTGGGCTGAATGCCCAGCTGAGGGTTTGGAATCTGAGAAGCTGCGTCACCATAACTCGCCATTGCCACCAGATGCTCCTTCTTTGACATCAGTCTTCATGGGCCTTCGTCAAGCTCTGCAGCACTTTGCAGATCCAAAAGGAGATTGCTTCTCACTTTCAATAAAATAAGGTTGCATGCAAATCACATTTGGTTTGTTTTCCTTCTTCTTTCCTTTAAATGGTTTTGCATCCTGCCTTTCTCCCAACATGGGGTTGTGGAGGATGGAAAACCAAGAGGTAGAGGGAATGGAATGGAGTTCCTGGAATCCTGAACAGAAGCCTGTTAACAAAGTCATTTAAATAACAGAGGTGGCGTCAAGAGCCCTGATAACACTTTACTAAAGAAACTGAACAAAAGCATCACTTAATTTGAGGAGAAAGGGACAGAAAGGTTTCATATTTATTATTTCAGGCCTTGTACATAGCAGGGAGACATACAGCCAATTATAAAGAGGAAAAACTCCCCCAATCTTTGAGGAAGATCATGCCACTCTGTCAAAACCAGCACTTTGAATTGGGCCCAGAATCTAACTGGCAGCCATGATGGGTGTAATTCTTCTTTCTTCCTTGGCGATCACTCGAAGTCAAGTAAGATTGTCTTCCATAAACATGGTATTAGCAGTGAATCTGTATGTGACTGTGGAGGCCAATTGTGGATCCACACGTCCTTCCACAGTGGGGACTTAAGTTTCTGAGTGGGAGTTGATCACGGTGTGGATTTGCCAAGCGTACCTTCCTCTTAGCACGTTTCTTCCTTTCATCCTGAGTTTGAGCATCTTCAAAGCCCACGACACCTTTGGTAAACGCTGTTCTCCAATTGGAGTCCTCACAGGCCAGTGTTTCCCAGTTGTCGGTGTTTATACTACGTTTTTTTTTAGATTTGCCTTGAGAGAGTCTTTGAACCTCTTTTGTTGACCACCAGCATTACACTTTCCATTTTTAAGTTCGGAATAGAGTACTGTAGTTGCTTTGGAATATGATAATCAGGCATCCGCACAACATGACCAGTCCAACAAAGTTGATTGATGTAATATATCCAACCTGTCTAAATTGTACTGCATTTCTGCAACTGAACATTTGATGCAGTAGCACTGAGCTCAGGAAGCCAGTTTTGTAGGAAGGGAGTTCAGCAGGTGAGAGAGAGCTAAGGATTGTAAGCCAGGGAAGGGAACAGATAGAGATGCAACAAAAAAAATTCTGAGAAACAGCAGGAAAATCATCTTATCTCTTAACTTGCTGCAGCTTTCCTCTAAAATTTCAATGGCCAGAGAACCCCGGGAGAAGAGTGTTGTTAGATCTAAGTGGCGCTGTGGGTTAAACCACAGAGCCTAGGACTTGCTGATCAGAAGGTCGGCGGTTCGAATCCCCGTGACACGATGAGCTCCATTTGCTCAGTCCCAGCTCCTGCCAACCTAGCACTTCGAAAGCACTTCAAAGTAAATAAATAGGTACCGCTCTGGCGGGAAGGTAAACGGCATTTCCGTGCACTGCTCTGGTTCGCCAGAAGCGGCTTAGTCATGCTGGCCACATGACCCGGAAGCTGTACGCCGGCTCCCTCAGCCAATAAAGCGAGATGAGCGCAGCAACCCCAGAGTCGGCCACAACTGGACCTAATGGTCAGGGGTCCCTCTACCTTTACTTCAGACCTTGAAAGGAAGACCTTGACAGTCGTAACATCATCTCTCAGTGCAGCATGTCTGCATACCAACCCAGATCTAAAAGACAATTGTCAGGGCCACCCGAGGTCCCAGCTCACAAGAGACCAACGCCAAGTCCAGCTTATGTACAAAAGCTTTTATTGAAGAACATTGTTAGCTCCACATCCGAGGCGTGTGACCCCACGTCTGTTAGGCTTAGACCGCTGAAGTCCCTTCTGAATCAGTCCCGCCTCTACACCAGTTTAAGAGGCTTGCGCTGGACCACCTCTTCCTCTCCTTCCTTTTCCGCAGGGTCTTTCTGCCCCCCTGGGTTCCCTCCCTCCGGGATTCCCCAGAGGCTGAATCCTCTGACGCCTGCTCCCCCCTCCTCCGTGCTTTGGGACCAGGCTCCTCCTCCGGGCTCTCCTCACTTCCGCGCGCCTCCACATTTGAACTTGGCGCGCGTACACTGCTTCTGACCTTCCTTTTGACAGTTACACTGCTCTCGGTACTACTCTCCGCCCCTTCCGGCAGGACGTCTTGCCCCGATCTCCTTCCCCTCTCTGCTTCCTGCTCTGCTCCGTCTGACACACTGGGAACTCCACCCCCTTCACTCCGTTCCGGCGGAGAAGCCGGTCCCGATCTCCAACTCCCACTGGGGGTTCCCCTGCTGCTGCCCTGCTCCTGACTACTCCCCCCTGTGGCTCCCCTTGGCCTGACCAGGGGCGCTCCCTTTTGGGAATCCTCCGATTCACTGGAGAGACTCATGGAACCCCTCGACTCATTGTCATCTTCTTCCTCGTCGCCCTGGGATCCTTCCCCCTCGCTCTCAGTCTCCTCCCTCATCTGCGTCTCTCTCCCTGAACCCCTGACAACAATACATCCAGGTTACGGTAATTTCACAGGCATGAATCAGCCAGTTTCCTGACCAGGTCTCACCTGAGGAATGTGTTTCCCTTGAAAAGCAGGGCATTGCCATCTGGTGGACATTAGGATAACTGCAAAAGGCACAGCAAGTTCAGGAAGAACTTGGCAGGATTTTATTTAAAGCATTTTATTGCTTTTTCACATGTAATGAACATAATTTAAAGTACAATAAACAAAAATAACAGCCAGGCTGTCCCTTCTTGGAAAAAAGCATGTTATTGTTGTTTAGTTGTTTAGTCGTGTCCGACTCTTTGTGACCCCATGGACCAGAGCACGCCAGGCACTCCTGTCTTCCACTGCCTCCCACAGTTTGGTCAAACTCATGCTGGTAGCTTCGAGAACACTGTCCAACCATCTCGTCCTCTGTCGCCCCCTTCTCCTTGTGCCCTCCATCTTTCCCAACATCAGGGTCTTTTCCAGGGAGTCTTCTCTTCTCATGAGGTGGCCAAAGTCTTGGAGCCTCAGCTTCAGGATCTGTCCTTCCAGTGACCACTCAGGGCTGATTTCCTTCAGAATGAATAGGTTTGATCTTCTTGCAGTCCATGGGACTCTCAAGAGTCTCCTCCAGCACCATAATTCAAAAGCATAAATTCTTCTGCGATCAGCCTTCTTTATGGTCCAGCTCTCACTTCCATACAACACTACTGGGGAAACCATAGCTTTAACTATACGGACCTTTGTTGGCAAGGTGATGTCTCTGCACAGGTAAGGTCACGCCCACCTCTGGTCACATGTAGAGAAAGTTTGTCCCAGCACAGGAGGAAATAGGAAGTTTATCTACTGGCTGGACAAACATCATCTTCATGTCTAAACCTGTCCACTCTAGGAATGTTGTATTTGACTGCTCTGTGTTTCACACCCCACATATGTCAGGTGTTGTAGAAGGATCAAAGACTCATCTTGACTCTGGCCACCCTGACCTGGCAGGTGATTTCCTCAGCCAGAGTAACAGACCTCCATGAGTCTATTGAAAAGCCTGTTGCGGAACTCCAATATTTAACAATTTCCAGTGTTTATTTCTTTAAAAATGGTTAGAGGTACTCTCATTTCTCTACTCCAGAGCCAGTGTGATGTAGTGGTTAAGAGCGGTAGTCTCGTAATCTGGGGAACTGGATTCGCGTCTCAGCTCCTCCACATGCAGCTGCTGGGTGACCTTGGGCCAGTCACACTTCTCTGAAGTCTCTCAGCCCCACTCACCTCACAGAGTGTTTGTTGTGGGGGAGGAAGGGAAAAGGAGAATGTTAGCCGCTTTGAGACTCCTTAAAGGGAGTGAAAGGCGGGATATCAAGTCCAAACTCTTCTTCTTCTACTACTCATATTGAACTTCTGCCCCTCAATGAGGCCAAACTTAGATTCACAAAATGTTTAGGGGTATGCATACCCCTGCACCCCCCCCCCCAAAAAAAATAAAGCACTGGCAATTTCTAAAGGAGCAGCTACCAGCAAAAGTGAAATCTCCTTGAATTGATGTGTAAAGCCAAACTTTAGACTGGCAAAGTGGGGGAGAGATATTGTTTTGTTGCTTTGGTTTAATTGTTTACTGTGTTTTATCTTGTATTTTAATCTGTGAACTGCCCTGAGATCTTTTGATGGGCAGTATAATAATAATAACAACAACAATAATAATAACCAAGAATTGACAGATTCAGCCATTCCTAGAATGGAGTAGTTGGTGCCAAGTGACTGAAGATGGAAGCTTAAGACCAACAGTCCGTGCAAGAGATGTGCTTCATTTTATTTTATTTCTGTTACTCTCCTGGAGCTTGCCAACTGCTCTCCCTCAGGCATGTGGCCACGGACCTTTGAGGTTTTCCTCTTGCCTCTTCTGAGCTCAGAGGGGGAACAACCTGCCTTTGAAATCCTCCAGTTCCCTATGTAACAAATGCAATAATACGTTGAGCTGACCACACTGCCATAGTTTCAGTTTGCATCCCACATGCTTTCAACAGACGGGGGTGTCACAATCCCCAAGAACTGGCTATCCCTTGCACCTCTGGACTGAGTACAGAAAAAGTGTCATTTTAGAAAAAAGATTCAGCGTAACACTACCAGCAGGAGCAGCACGGCTGTTGCTGCTGCTGTCTTGCTCTGTTTCAAACCTGCTGGTGAAGCCAACCTTCTTTAAGATCATGAAGCTCCTTCATTTCCTTCTCTCTGCCCTCTTGATTATGGTGCTGCCTTCTCCAGGTAAGGGATAAACTGAGCTGGTCAATAAACCTCAAGGTAAAGGGTAAAGGGACCCCTGACCATTAGGTCCAGTCGTGACTGACTCTAGGGTTGCAGCGCTCATCTCGCTTTATTGGCCGAGGGAGCCGGCGTACAGCTTCTTGGTCATGAGGCCAGCATGACTAAGCCGCTTCTGGCGAACCAGAGCAGCGCACGGAAATGCCGTTTACCTTCCCGCTGGAGTGGTACCTATTTACCGTATTTTTCGCACCATAGGACGCACTTTTTCCCTCCTAAAAAGCAAGGGAAAATGTGTGTGCGTCCTATGGAGCGAATGCAGGGGGGAGGCAGGCGGGAAAAGCCCCCAAGAGCCGCACACAAGCTCCGTGCGCTCTTGCGGGCTTTTCCACAGGAGGGAGAAGGGACTGACTGGCCGCATCAGTCCCTTCTCCCACCTCCCAGGAAAGCCAGGAGAAGCCGTGCAGCCCTTTTAAAGTCCGCGCGGCTTCTGCCGGTTTTGCGGGAGGTGGGGGAATTCCCCCACCTCCCAGAAAAGCCAGGAGAAGCTGCGCAGCCCCTTTAAAGAGCTCACGGCTTCTGCGGGCTTTTGCGAGAGGTGAGGGAATCCCCCCACCTCCCAGGAAAGCCAGAAGAAGCTGTGCAGCCCTTTTAAAGTGCGCGCGGCTTCTGCCGGTTTTGCGGGAGGTGGGGGAATTCCCCCACCTCCCAGAAAAGCCAGGAAAGCCCTGCGCAGCATCTCCCGGCAAGGAGAGGCTGCGCGGGGCTAAAGGAGAAGGCAAAACGGCGAGCGGGATCCATCCTGCTCGCTGCCTTGCCTTCTTCCATAGCCGCGCGCAACCCCTCCGCAAGGAGAGGCTGCGCGGGGCTAAAGGGGAAGGCAAAACAGCGTGCGGGATCCATCCCGCTCGCTGCCTTGCCTTCTTCCATAGCCGCGCGCAACCCCTCCGCAAGGAGAGGCTGCGCGGGGCTAAAGGGGAAGGCAAAACAACGTGCGGGATCCATCCCGCTCGCTGCCTTGCCTTCTTCCATAGCCGCGCGCAACCCCTCCGCAAGGAGAGGCTGCGCGGGGCTAAAGGGGAAGGCAAAACAGCGAGCGGGATCCATCCCGCTCGCTGCCTTGCCTTCTTCCATAGCCGCGCGCAACCCCTCCGCAAGGAGAGGCTGCGCGGGGCTAAAGGGAAAGGCAAAACAGCGAGCGGGATCCATCCCGCTTGCTGCCTTGCCTTCTTCCATAGCCGCGCGCAACCCCTCCGCAAGGAGAGGCTGCATGGAGCTATGGCTTCTTTAGCCCTGTGCAGCGTCTCCCGGCAAGGAGAGGCTGCATGGGGCTAAAGGGGAAGCCAAAACTTGGCTTGCTCCATAGCTGCTCGCAACCCCTCCGGCAGGGAGAGGTTGTGCGCACCCTGTACGCTGCTCTTTGGGGCTGGGGGGGGAAAAGATTTTTTTCTTGATTTCCCCCCCTAAAAACTGGGTGCGCCCTATGGTCCGGTGCGCCCTATGGTGCGAAAAATACGGTATCTACTTGCACTTTGACGTGCTTTCGAACTGCTAGGTTGGCAGGAGCAGGGACCGAGCAACGGGAGCTCACCCCGTCACGGGGATTAGAACCGCTGACCTTCTGATCGGCAAGTCCTAGGCTTTGTGGTTTAACCCACAGCGCCACCCACATCCCTCAGTAAACCTTAGGTTTTTTTCGTTAGGAAAATGAAGTCGCCTTTTCTCACTGCCACAGCGAGGCTATGAAATATGAAATCATTTCTGCCTTAAGGTAGGGAGACTGTGGCTCTCCAGACATCGTTGGACTCCAACACCCATGGCAAAGGTCAGGGATTATGGGACCTGTAATCCAGTAAGATTTGAAGGGCCACTGGTTCCCACTCTGCCTCAGAGCAGGGCTGCCATACATCCAGGTTTTCCCGGACATGTCTGGAAATCAGACTGTCAAAATGGCATCCGGGCAGATTTTCACGGAATTGGCACCTTAGGGGGTGCCTTCTTCCAAATTTAACTTCCTGCTCATGTAAATCACAGACCCTCCAAGTGTCCTTATTTTCCAGGGACAGTCCCGGATTTGCAGAAGCTGTCCGGGTTTCTGATTTGATACCAGAATGTCCTGCTTTTCCTTAGGACAGAGGTTTTCAACCTTTTTGAGTCCACGGCTCCCTTGACCAACTACATTCTTTCTGCGGTACCCCTGTGGGGCTGAGGAGCCCAGTTATGTCACTCCTTGCCTCCAGAGCTGGCAGCCTCTCACCCTTTTTCGAATCCCCTCCCTTGTGGAGTGTCCCTCAGCCTCCTCTTTTCTCCCCTCTCCTTGGGAGTCCTCTGGGCAGCTGCTGCTGCCGCCCCTGGTCTCTGAGCTGCCCCCCCCCGCCCCAAAGAGAGGTGCCTCCTCACACTGCCCCACAGGAGCCTGGGAAGAGGATAACCCCAGCCCCTGCCTGCCTCCCACTTGTCCGTCCATTCCCAACAGCAAGGGCTGGCAGACTGACTGGGTGGGCTCCCTAGCCTGCTTGCTTTCCTACTCTGAGGCCACCTCAGCTCCTGGCATCCAGCACCCCCTGGCCAGCCCCACAGGCACCATTTGCCTCAGGAGCTGGTAGCCAGGGCTGCTGCAGCAAACAGCTGTGCAAACCTTTGAGAGGCAGAGATGCAAGAGGTTCATCGGAGGAGGGAGGGAAGGAAAGAGGAACAGAGACTAGCGTTGCCTGTGGCATCCCAGGGTGTCATGGCACAATGGTTGAAAACCACTGCCTAAGGACACCCCTATTTTCATCAGAGAAATGTTAGATGGTATGGAGTTATGTGACCCCTTGAGCCAAGGAGAGATGTGACTATACAACTTTTAGAAGACATCTGAAGGCAGTCCTGTATAAGGAAGTTTCTTTTTAATGTTTTATGTTTTATTAAGTTTTTATATATGTCGGAAGCCGCCCCAAGTGGCTGGGGAAGCCCAGTCAGATGGGTGGGGTATAAATATTATTATTATTATTATTATTATTATTATTATTATTATTATTATTATACCGATTTTCATTGGAGAAAGATTGGAGGGTATTAATTCAATAAAAAGGGCCTTGTTGTTTGTTCTTTTTACTGTGATAGGAACTGAGATGTTGTGTAGAGCAGACACATAACTAATGTTAGACCAACCCTTTGGAATTACTTAGAGGTTCATAGAATTGTAGAATTGGAAGGGACTCCAATGGTTATCTAGTCCATTGTTGTTGTTGTTATTATTATTATTATTATTATTATTATTATTATTAATTTGTACCCTGCATATCTGGCTGGGCTTCCCCAGCCACTCTGGGTGGCTTCCAACAAAATATTAAAATACAGTAATCCATCAAACATTAAAAGCTTCCCTAAACAGTTGGTCTCCTCATTATGCAGACAACTTTCTGATGTAAGGTAAAGGTAAAGGGATCCTCTTGGGAGGCTGGCTAGGAGAGCTCTAGTGCTGCACAACTGTGGGGAACAAGCCTTCTTGAGATGCCCGTGCTGTAAGATCTGGACTTCTCCCATCTAAAGGTAAAGGGACCCCTGAGCATTAGGTCCAGTCGTGGCCGACTCTGGGGTTGCAGTGCTCATCTCACTTTATTGGCCGAGGGAGCCGGCGTACAGCTTCCGGGTCATGTGGCCAGCATGACTAAGCCGCTTCTGGCGAACCAGAGCAGCGCACGGAAACACTGTTTACCTTCCCGCCAGAGCGGTACCTATTTATCTACTTGCACTTTGACATGCTTTCAAACTGCTAGGTTGGCAGGAGCAGAGACTGAGCAACGGGAGCTCACCCCGTTGCGGGGATTCGAACCACTGACCTTCTGATCGGCAAGTCCTAGGATCTGTGGTTTAACCCACAGTGCCAGCCGCGTCCCACTATTCAGTGGTAGGCAGGGGTTAAATTGGGAAGTGGCATGATGGATGTAGACATGCCCCTTTTGCGCTTTGAACAAAAATCCAAGGGTTGGCAGAGAAAGGGAGTGGCAGCCAGGACAATAATTTTGCTTCCAGAAGTCAAGCTCATATGCATAATGGGCCAAGCACAGTCACATACTTACTGCAACTTGGGGGGCAAGCTTGCTGTGAATGGAATAACCTGTGACTCTCTTTCCTTTCAAACAGGATCTGCCACCGCTCCAAGCTCCGATCTTGAATGTCAGCAGCAAAAAGGCCTGTGTTTTCCTGGCCGTTGTAGCCGCCCATGGAGATCCATAGGGACGTGCAATGTGGTATTGCACCATTGTTGCAAGAGGTGAGAGGGAAATTCGGGAGGATGTAAACAGAGAAGCCTGCATACGTCTTTCCTTCATATGTTCAATGACGTTTCCAAAAGATTCGTAGGTTGAAAAGGGTCACTGAGCCCAACCTTCTGCAAGTCTCTCAGTGGTCGATGCCTGAACATATACAACATGTGAATGTGTGTATATGCACAGATAAATAGGGTGGTTTTTTCTCCTTCCAGTGCAGATTTTATTTATTTTATTTATTTATTTCTTAAATTTATATACCGCCCCTTCATCCAAAGACCTCAGGGCGGTTCACAGACAAGGAAAAGCACAGTAAATAATTAAACAAAAACAACAAGACAATATCACACACACACCCCTTCCCAGAAATAAAGTAGACCCTCGGGTTACGTTACTCTCGAGTAATGTAAACTTCGGGTTGCAAAAGTGGCAAACCCAAAAGAAATTTGTGTGAATTTTAGCATCCACTCTGAGTGTTGAAGCCAGAGTGCCTTCAGTAACATTCCAACGTTATTCTTTTGTTTACCAGAAATTACCATTTGCATTCTCAGGAAAGAACGCAGAAATAAATAATTACCCGGAAGACGTATCATCACGTGATCCTCTGGAACCATTGGACAGCGCCAATATCGAAGTAAGCATCATCCTGTCTCACAAACAAAAGAGACACCTTGCTTCGAAGATACAAAAAGAAACAGCTTTTTCACTTCCAGTAAGATCAAGTTTCATCGATACATTATGGGAATAACTTGGCGTGTCTTTGTATGGAAATATCTGCTGTCTGAATTATTGGAAATCTTATCATGTTAACTCCCAGCCCATTTGATTATCATTTATTCCAACAAAGGTATCTTTTCAATCCACAACTCTTTTTGTCTGTTTTATTTTAATAGGATGAGTTGTGGAGTGGAGTTTCTTCCTGTATTTCTAATTAAACACTTACGTAATTCTACTACGGTGGTACCTCGGTTTACAAACTTAATCAGTTCCGGAAGTGCATTCTTAAACCAAAACCATTCTTAAACCGAGGCGCACTTTCCCTAATGAGGCCTCCCACTGCTGGTGCCCTTCCACTGTTTAGATTCCGTTCTTAGACCGAGGTAAAGTTCTCAAACCAGGACACTATTTCCAGTTTTACAGAGATTGTACACCAAATCGTTCTTAAACCAAGGTACCACTGTATTACCGTATTTTTTGCTCTATCAGACCCACTTTTTCCCTCCTAAAAAGTAAGGGGAAATGTGTGTGCATCTTATGGAGCAAATGCAGGCTGCGCAGCTATCCCAGAAGCCAGAACAGCAAGAGGGATTGCTGCTTTCACTGCACAGCGATCCCTCTTGCTGTTCTGGCTTCTGAGATTCAGAATTATTTTTTTCTTGTTTTCCTCCTCCAAAAACTAGGTGCGTCTTGTGGTCTGGTGTATCTTATAGAGCAAAAAATACGGTCGTTTTCCAGGAGGGGGGGGGGAACCTGGTCTTTCCCAGAATCATGTGGCTATGCTGCCACCTTGAGGCCAAAATATAAGCTGCCAATCGATCTGACATCCTTACACAAGCAGTTTTAAAAATACAATTTCCTTGCACTTTCTTAGTGCATGCTAATCTAACCTGGAGAACAACAGCAGCTTTTAAGAGAGTTGAAAGTTATCTAAGAAGGTCTTCAGTACCACAGTGTGACCATACACACAGAGAGAGAGAAAACCTCTTTTTGATCCCATCTGATTAAACAGGCTTAGCAAATTAATTTGAATTCCACTCCAAGGAGCTCAAGGTGGTATACACAGTTCTCCGCCTCTTCATTTAATCTCCACAACAACCCTGTGAGGTAGGCTAGGTTGAGAGGTGGTGACTGGCCCCCAGGGGCACCCAGTGCACTTCATAACCAAGGGGCGATTTGCAAACCTGGTCTCCCAGCTCCTCGTCTAACACTCTTAACTCAGTGGTTTTCAACCTTTTTGAGTCCACGGCTCCCTTGACCAACCACATCCTTTCTGCATCTCCCCTGTGGGAGCCACCAATTCCAGGGTTCAGAATGTAAGCCAGGGGTAGACAACCTAAGGCCCATGGGCCGGATGCGGCCCAATCACCTTCTCAATCCGGCCCACAGACGGTCCAGGAATCAGCGTGTTTTTACATGAGCAGAATGTGTCCTTTTATTTAAAATGCATCTCTAGGTTATTTGTGGGGCCTGCATGGCGTTTTTACATGAGTACATAGGCGCCGACTCCATGGGGCCTGAGGGGGCCCGAGCCCCCTCAAAAATTCGTTTGGGGGGGCTCTGCCCCCCCCCCAATAATTTAAGAAAATTATTAGGCACCTTGCCAAAAACCGCGCGGGGGACTCCGGCGCGCGCCTCCCAAAGTGACCGGGAGCTCCTGAGAAGGGGCGGGCAGGTCGGTCAGTCAGAGGAAGACCCCCAGCGGCGGGACTTTAGAAAGGAATGGAGCCGCGGGGCCGAGGAACGGCGTATTCGTCGCCGGCAAGGGACCGGGGTGAGGGGAGAATGGAGGGGACGGGAGTTCCCGCCGCCGGAGCGGGGCTTTTTTTCTGGGTTCGGCTAAGGTGACGTTGGTAGGAGGGGGTGGCCGCCTCCCGGCGCGAAGCCTGGGGAGGGCAGGCCGGTTCTTGCATGCAAAAGCACCACTGCCATCCTGCCGCCAGTATGGACCCCGGTATGGGGCCCCCCAATATTTTTTATAAGTCGGCGCCCCTGCATGAGTAGATTGTGTGCTTTTATGTAAAATGCATCTCTGGATTATCTGTGGGGCATAGGAATTCGTTCATATTTTTTTCCAAAATATAGTCCAGCCCACCACATGGTCTGAGGGACGGTGGACCAGCCCACGGCTGAAAAAGGTTGCTGACCCCTGATGTAAGCATTCCAAAAATGGAGAGCAGGGCAAGGGGTGAGGCTAGGAATCTGGGATGTGACTGGGAGGTAGCAAGGAGGAAGAAGAGGAGGAGAACTCAAGGAAGGAAGATGATGGGTTCAAAGCTGCCAGCTCCCTTGAATGTTCCTCGGAAAGAGAAAGAGAGAAAGCTAATGCAAGAAGATATGGGCTGCAAGTTCCCCCAAGTTTCCCCAGGGTGCAATGGCACACTGGTCGGCAACCAATGCTCTAACCACTACACCTCACTGGCTCACCACTTTGGTGTTTTTGAAGCAACACAAAAAAACCCTACAAAAGCTGTCTGACTTTTTGCACCGACATGCATCTCCTGGTAGGTCTGGGAGTGTTCCACATCTGAAACCCTGGAGTGCTAACCATGTTAACCATCATCACCGTTTTTTAATTTGTATACCATATTTCTATCTTATAATACTCAAGGCAGTTTACAAGCTGAAGAAACAAAAAATGTACCGTTTTTTCGCCCTACAGGACGCACATTTTCACCTCCAAAAATGAAGGGGAAATCTGTGTGCGTCCTATGGGGCGAATGCAGGCTTTCGCTGAAGCTTGGAGAGTGAGAGGGGTCGGTGCGCACCGACCCCTCCCGCTCTCCAGGCTTCAGGAAGACATCCGCAGCCTGCTTCCCGGAGCGCCTGGCGCGCTGAAAGCAGAGCACCCATTGCTTTGGGAACACATGTGCAGCGTGGGGATAGCAGCTTGTCGGCGGGCACGAGAAGCGCCCTGAAGCAGAGCGCCCCTCGCGCCGGGCAGACATCCGCAGCGTGTTGGAGCCCTGCGGGAGTTCCCCGCAGGGCTCCCCACGCTGCGGATAGCAGCCTGCCGCCAGGCGCGAGGGGTGCCCTGAAGCAGAGCGCCCCTCGCGCCGGGCAGACATCCGCAGCGTGTTGGAGCCCTGCGGGAGTTCCCCGCAGGGCTCCCCACGCTGCGGATAGCAGCCTGCCACCCGGCGCGAGTGGCGCCCTGAAGCAGAGCGCCCCTCGGGCCGGGCAGACATCCGCAGCGTGTTGGAGCCCTGCGGGAGTTCCCCGCAGGGCTCCCCATGCTGCGGATAGCAGCCCGCCGCCCGGCGCAACAGGCGCCTTGAAGCAGAGCGCCCCACAAGCTCGGGGGACAGCAAGGAGGCGCAGCGCCGCCATCCCGCTGTTCCTCGACCTGGTTCGGTTTCCCCGACCTGGTTTTGGGGGGGAAATAAAGGGGGGGGATTTCTTTTTTTTTTCCCCCAAAAAACTAGGTGCGTCCTATGGGGCGAAAAATACGGTACATCTTATAACAATCTAATGCAATACAAAAATGTGATAATAAAACTTTAAAAGAGGCAACCTACATCAAAAAGGTAACATTCAACAATCATTAGAATAGTATTAGATAAAAAAAACATGTAAAAGTTAAACAGAAGTCCACTCAATAGTTACAAGAAATAAATTCTAAACTATAATCAATAAAACAACGGCAAGCCACAGTACATGAAATAATACAATACAAATTGAGAAGCAGAAGACTAGAGGGTGGAGCAAGGCAGGTGGAAGGAGGCCTTGCCTGATGGAGTCTCTCCCCTCACAGTTCTTCCTCCAGGCACAGCTTCCTCATGAGGAGACCCAGGGCCGGGGGGGGGGAGGCAAATAGAAGGAGGCCTTGCCTGATGGAGTCTCTCCCCTCACAGTTCTTTCTCCAGGCATAGCTCCCTTATGAGGGCTCCTAGGGTCAGAGGGAGTAGAAGGCATCTCTCTATGTTTGTAGGTACCCAGATGTTTTTTTAAGAAGCAGGCTGGTTGTGGAACTGCTTCCTTGGTTCCACATTTCTGGCCCCATTTCCCTCCCCCCACTCCAGCTGTAGGAGAGCTGTTGAAAACAGTTGTGCTTTGTCTGGCTTTACTTATAGAGAGCAGAGGTGGATCAAACCGATTGGACACCCGGGATGGCGCATGTGCCCTGTGCCCACGGGTGGTGCAAGCCACCCGCGGGGTGGGGCGAGCCAGGGCAGGACGCTCCGTGGAGCCTCCGAGGAGTCTGCCTGGCTCCTCCCACTCAGCCGCCCTACAGCTGGGGGAAAGATGGCGGGCAGAGCATTTGGGGAAGTGCAGAGCCTGCGCATGCCCAAGTCTTCTTCCCGGACACTGAGGTCCAGCACTGAGGGCCTTCTGGCGGTTCCCTCACTGCAAGAAGCCAAGTTACAGGGAACCAGGCAGAGGGCCTTCTCAGTAGTGGCACCTGCCCTGTGGAACACCCTCCCACCAGATGTCAAAGAGAACAAAAACTTCCAGACTTTTAGAAGACATCTGAAGGCAGCCCTGTTTAGGGAAGCTTTTAATGTTTGATGCATTACTGTACAGTGGTATCTCGGGTTAAGTACTTAATTCATTTCGGAGTTCCGTACTTAACCTGAAACTGTTCTTAACCTGAAGCACCACTTTAGCTAATGGGGTCCCCTGCTGCTGCCGCGCCTCTGGAGCACAATTTCTATTCTCATCCTGAAGCAAAGTTCTTAACATGAAGCACTATTTCTGGGTTAGCGGAGTCTGTAACCTGAAGCGTATGTAACCCGAGGTACCACTGTATTTTAATATTTTGTTGTAAGCCACCCAGAGTGGCTCTGGAAGCTCAGCCAGATGGGTGGGGTATAAATAATAAATTATTATTATTATTATTAGTCACTGCGTCACTCCCAGGAGACGCATGGCTTGGGCGTGCTGCATGCCCTGCAGTGAGTGCCACCCGGCATTTTGTCACCCCCCCTCAGTGGTGACACCTGGGGCAGCCCACCCCTTCCACAACCCCTTCCTCCGCCCCAATAGAGAGGCAGTTATAGACAAGAGGCGTCGTTTGGTGGATTGCACAGCCTTATGGGTTACAACATTCCTGCATCCATGGTCCTCGCCATGCTCTGATGCAAGGAAACGCAGTGCTTGCAGTTCCACCTGTACAAACCTCAAAGGGATTCCTTCACAGCTCC